GCAGAGGCAGGAACATTGATTCTTCCAGAATAGTGCTTGTAAAGGTCAGTTCCACGGTACCCAAACTGCAAGTTTGCCAGAGCATGCCAACTTTGATATCTGCCCAGTGTTGACTTTCAAGACCTGTCCTCTAACGAAATCCAGCAACCATATCCAAGATACAAACACCTTTTTTATCAAGTCAGATGGGGATATAATGACAAAAGATACCCACAGCTATACCAATTGCATGAAGTGCAAGATAAAATAAGTGTTTAAAACACTAAAAACTTGCAAGTTCCCTCAGTTTAAGAGTTCACTAGATCATCATTAAATCCTGATCTATAAAAATCAAGCCACATTTGGATCACCAAGTGCAAGATACCTTCCTGTACGTTACATATGGAGCTAGAAGCAGTTATATCAGCCTTCACTGATTTAAGGCTAAAGACCTACATAACTGTAAACCAGGCATTATTTCTTCTCTTTCTGTCTGGGCCAGGTTATGAGGGAAATCCACAGACACCTAAATCAGGTTTTTGACACAGTTCCTGGCCATCCAAACCAAGCAGCACCGGGGAGAGACTGTATTTTCTGTAAGGTGCAGGCAGTTGAGAGAGAGAGAAAAGGAGGAAGGTTTTTGTCAGAATCTTGTTCATTCCTCTATCTCCGCCCACCTAAGCATGGGCCAGGGCAGGGATGTCACACCATCAGTTGTCTAAGGTGAAAAGCCCATAGTAGATCCCCAACACTCAATCCTGGTGCTACCACCAAATCACTGCCCCAACTGGTACACACACGAGTTCTACTTGTCTAGCAACACCCTCCTGCAAAGCAAGGTAAGAGGTAACAGTTATCTGGCCACAGGAACCCATTATTTCTCATTCTCATCCCTGCAAAGCTGCCAAAACACACCCACATCTTTTGCGAGCTGAAAGAGGACTAGATTAGTTATGGCAAACAAGATGTCAAAAAGAATGTGGCGACTGGGTGGCAAATGACACAGAAGGCAACAGACCTTCTGGCTTCCCGGTAAATCAATACCCTATAGAAGACAACAGTATGTCTGCACTAGCAAGAAAAAGGAAAATTAGCCTGGATATTTGATGTGCATTAACACATATCACCTCTTCTCCCACCTAACAGCAAGGACACAAGCAGCTTCAGACAGCTGCTACAACAACAGAAAAAAAGAATAAAGACAGCCATCAGCAGCCTTGCTTGAGCCTGTAAAGCTGATAGGGCCCACTACAGTGAAGATATCCCACCTAAGCCTCAGCACAGCTGGACCTGCATCCCTCCACAACTTCTCTTACCAGAATAGTCACAACATCTCAGCTTGACAGCAGAAAGATCAGATTTGGCTCCAGCCCTGTTTTTTACCTACCATGTGGAAACCATAAAGTTCTGCTACTCAAACACTGTGCTACAGAACAGCACCTGCTTCCTCATGTAGAATGTGCTAACCCATGAGAAGTACACACTGTGAGAGAACCTCTGTCCTCGCATATCTACACAGATCTCCGCTTGAAAGTCAACTTGTTCCAAGCTACGGAGGCCCAAGTAAGCACATCTCAAATCCCACATGAAAAAAAGAAACTCATGTCTTGATAAAAGGCTTTTCTGTCTCGTTAGCACAGCTCAGAGATAGCCAGAATCAGACACTTTTAAAGACAAGATGCTGATTCCCCAATTATGAAATAAATAAGCTTGTAAGAAAGATGTTTTCCCAACTTCATCACCTAGTGAACAGCCTACAGTCTGAAAAGCAAGATTTCACGCTCCTGTCTATGTGTTAAAGGCTGCAAGGTTTTCCTGTCATTTTTCACCCCCAAAGTCTCCAGTTGTGTAACAGACTCTTGGGCTGAGAAAGGGAAGAGGCATTTTGGGAGGGAAGCTGCGATCTCTCTCTCCTGCAAAGAAACATGACACTTTTGATAAACAACAGAGATGCAGGGAGAGGATGCAACATCAAGTCACTGAGATCCAGACCCTCATGACACCATGGGACTCCCTGCTTCAGCACACGAGTTGCGTCAGTCAGACGCGCTCTGAAGACAGAGAGTTTCCCGGCTGGTGGAGAACTTCATAGAAGGGCTTGAGTTGGAAGACACCTTTAAAGATCACCTAGTTCCAACCCCCCTGCCACGGGCAGGGACATCTCCCACTAGACCAGGTGCAGCTCTGGAGCCTGTAGTACAAGAAAGACATGGACCTGCTCAAAAGGGTCCAGAGGAGGCCACAAAAAAGATCCAAAGGATGGAACACCTCTCCTATGAGAACAGGCTGAGAGTTGGGGATCTTCAGCATGGAGAAGTATCCAGAAAGACCTTACTGCAGTTTCAGCATATGAAGGAGGGTTATGAGAAAGATGGAGAGAGGCTTTTTACCAGCATCTGTAGTGATAGGACGAGGGACAATTATTTTAAATGAAAATAGATTAGACTGGACAAAGGGAATAGGTTTTTTACGATGAAGGTGGCGAGACACTGAAACAGGTTACCCAGAGAAACTGTGGTTGTAAAGGATGTTTATAGCATCCTTGGAAGTGTTCAAAATCAGACTGGACAGGGCTTTGAGCAACCTGGTCTTCTTGAAGATGTCCCTGTTCACTGCACGGAGGGTTGGACTAGATGATCTTTAGAGATCCCTTCCAACCCAAACCATTCTGTGATCATGATACAGAAGGAACAGTCTCCATGTTGCTGCCCATTCTCATCAACACTGCCTCCAGCTGCCTTGCACAACCTCTTCCTTCCAACAGCATTTCAGTCACCTATTCCTGCCATCCCGTAAAAACCTTCTCACAGAACTGCCCCTCACTACATGACTAACAGCAGGTCTCTGAGCACAACACTAGCTATAAGCCTGTGAAATCCTGTATTCAGTCTTCCCTCTGTGGATGCTTAGCTGAAGCACAATTTACAGCAGAGAAGGTCAGTGTCGTCTGGGACAGTTCATCCCTGTCCCCACACAGCCCAAACATTGCTGGGTCAAGCCTGAACAAAGCCTGTGCTGTAACATATTACAGGATGATGCCATTACACCCACACTTCTTTACTCAGGTCTTGAAACCACATAGATTTAGATGACCAAATGTCCTGGGCACCTGGTGGACCCCTTTCCACAGAAGGGGTGCAAAGAGGAAGACAGATGAAGAAACTTGGTCTCAGTGGCAGCAGCCTGAAACCAGAAACAAGTATCAGCACCTTTCCCTTGACCCCAAGCACGGGAATCCTTCTCCTGCATTCCCTTTCCTGTGAAAAGGACACTATGCCACATTAACTAAACTGTTTGACTTTCTGTAGGGTATCTATTGATTTGTACACATACAAGAAAGAGACAGCAGAGCACTGCCATGCCCATGTCTGGGTTCAAAGTCAGTTCAGGTATGCAATGCAAGCACAGTCTTAACAGACCAAGGAATAGAGGGGTCCTACATAGAGCTGAACCTGTTGGGCAGCCACAGCACCATCATTTGTGCTGTTTTTTTCCAACAGACTTGGCCTTCCAGGAAGAAAACATGGATAACGGCACTTCTACAGGTAAGAGTGGCCACACGAGGACAAGTACATTAAAGACTGCAGCACGTGTGGATATTATGGTAATGACAGTCCTGTAAACACTCAAGGTGGGCCAACTGGTTACCTGAGATTCAAAGCAGGGCAGAAAATTGCTGCTCTTTTTGAAATGCCAACGCTCTTACAGGAGCCTGGAGAAGACAGCCAGGGTTGGAGTCTCCAAGACAGTACCTGCAGCTGTAGGAACATAGGTCTGCTCACAGGAGCACCTGCCCAGCGGCTCAAACAAGCGTTTGAGCACACAGCTTGATTCAGTGCTGTGACAAACAGTGTTCAGCTTGGTGGCCTCCATCCCCAGCTCCCACAGACGGACCTGGAAGGCAGGAAACTTTAACATCATTTCCATAATGTAAATTGCAGAATCACCAGGCACCAATCTCACATTGGCTGCATGTTCACAGAACAGAACGACAGTCAGATTAAATAAGAAAAGCAATCTTTTCTCCTTCTCTTCCTCTTGTTCAGGATCCCTTTTAATTCAAATCCAGTTTGCAAAGTTATCTGAAGGTATGAAGCAGGAGGAAAGGTCAAAATCCCTAAGAATCCCAAAGGAAAATAAAAGACACACTGGCATTACTGTGCTAATATATTTGCTGAAATTTATGGTGTAGGCTCAGATGGCTTCCTTTAAACTACGCACTGACTACACATCTCCCCTTTTATTAACCGATTTGTCTCATTAGCAAGTGGCACAAGCCTGTCAGTAGTTTTAGCAGTGTCAGTGACTGACTGGATAGCTTACAAGTAGATCTTTCTCCTTCCCTGTAGCAAGTCCATACTCGCTGGCGTTGTAGAGAATACAGGTGATAACACACAAGACTCGTAGATAATGAAAGAGCTTTAGGTGACACACTCGCCTCAGTCTCATTTTAGAGGAGGAAAAGAAAAAAAGAGAATACTACTAATAAAAAAAAAAAAAGTCTGAAGAAAGACCATGAGATCCAAGCTTCTGAGGCTTATTGGCAAGACTTTAGGAGAGGTCTGGAGGGCATTTGTTAACTCCTGGTAAATTCTTTGCAAAAATCATCACAGCAAGAGCAATCTCAGGAGGTACTTGAAGGACGATGATTAAGTAACTTTATACTGGCAGGCGGCTTCTCCCAACCACACAGGAAAGTAGAAGGGCATATTTAAAAGCACATAGATAGACAACAAAACATGGCAGGATGGGCCAAAGGGATGTTACCACAGAGGCAGACTGTAGAGGGCTTCTGCATATTTTGGGAGTTAAGTGGAGGCAGAGCAATAGCACAAAAGATTAATCTTCATGGCAGGATTCAGAGGGACAACAAGGCAAGACACACGGTATGGAACCAGCACAGGGCTAGCACAGGACTCGAGAGAGGGTGTCACGAGCCCATCTCAGACCTGCAGCTGCACCGAGATGTGTTTGAGATGTCACTCACAAAGAGTCTGTGCTATGGAGGCCGAATGCAAAGAATGAGAGGCCCTAGTCAAGCAGGACGCCAGCAAAATAGGAAGCTGGTGTGTTTTAAGTCAAGCAAAAGGTTGAGGGAAGGCCAGGCAGTGTTTATTCCAGCTGAGAAAGATCTTGGTCGCTCTGGAAAGAGCAACACTGCACATTACTCACTCTGCTCCTTCATAAGACTGTTCAGGCAGGAACAGGTTACAAAGATTGGGAAATATGTTTTCTTTGCAAATTCAGTTAAGCTTTTGTAACTACTTTCAGCTCAGCTCCTGCTATGATTCTTTCACAGCTTCTAGTGGCTTTGGGAAAGGTGTTAATTCCCTGTGTGCTAGAAGCATTACACAGAGCAAATTACAGCACCCATCCAGCTTGTAAATGAACTTCCTTGTACACCGCTTGTTCACAAGATGTGCAAGTTATTGGGGTGGCTTTTTATAACAATCCCAGTAAGAACACACAAAGAAATTTAAAAGGACCAACATGACACAACTTGGGGAAAAAAAAACAAGCCTCCACTCGCTTCAATCAATTGCAATGATTTCTCCTACTGACAGCACTCTGGAGGACTTCCCAGTACCGACAGTTGGTCTTCTGCCACTCACTGACCCTTCTCCAAAGGAACAATTCTCAGCACTCCAGCATTTTGAGAGCAGCACATTTATCTGAGGTCATCATAACATCTGTGAGCCAAATAGAAGGGGTTGAAATTTTTTCCTTGCAAAGGCTGAACGCAGACAGTTTTCAGCGAGCCAAAATAGCAACTGGCAGAATTAGAAGAGGGAAAAACCAAAACAGCTGCTAAGCTGCAAAATAAGCTTTCCCAAAGGGTCACTGGCACATTGACCTAACCTCACCTTGTCGCAGAAGACTTTAATCTGGCAGTAGGCTCTGTGGACCGGTTTGTTACTCCTGTTATTGTAGCTATAGGTGTCAATCTGAAGATTCAGGGGCAGGCCTTTAACTCCTTTCTGAGAGGAGAAATCCGTGCTGAGGCAGTTCACAGAAATGAAGACCTGCAGAAGAAGAAAGCAGCACCCATCAGTAGTGACACACAGACTCCTGGCTGGCCAATGAGCAAGTGACGACTCGGTGAGTGCCAAGGTCTAAATGCTGGTCCTTGCCACCACAAGCAGAATCTTCTTTCATCTGGGAGATCAGGTGAAATCCCCAAGCAGCAGAACATTCTTAATTCTTTATATAAGCCATTACAGGGCACAAAGCCACTTTGTCCAGAATGAATTTCAAAACAAACTTTCCGGACTTCATGAAGACTCCACCCACCTGTTCCAGATACTGCCACTCCAGAGATCTCAAATGCCATCATCAAACTTTCAGAAACTTTTAGGAATGCTCCTACACCCAATCCTCACTGCCCACTGTAAGCTCTTGGTAAGAGCACAACCAAGTTTGAAAAATTTACACTACTCTGAGCAAGCTAAAAGAAAGCCTTCCATGAGTTTTACATAAGCTGCTGTCAGCACAGCTTATCCCTGAAAACTACTTGGGGTTTTGGGTCTGTTGTTTTGCTTTGTTTTGTAAATGATATTAAAAGCTTTTAAAAAACATCGGGCAATATGTTATCTTTAAACACATGAATAAGGTCATTATTTCAGCAAGAGTTTCTGGGCTTTACGCTATTTTGAATATTCCCCAGCGAGACTTACAATACCTTGTTAATGTTCAGATAAGAAGTGAAAGAGTAATATTTTCATTACTCTATTAAAAATAAAAAAAGACGGTGAAGAAGTTCCATTTTCTTAATTGCCTAAAAAAACCCCAACCAAACAACAAAAAACCCCCACACCCCCACAACCAGAGAACAACTGCTAAACAGAAGGAAGAAATATCCTTGTCTCGATATGAACAGACAGACCAGAGTACTTTGCATCCTCAGCATGGGCTTTCCGTGTGCCAGGCTTTTCTCCAGACGCAGTCCTTGTTATCGGCACATCTCGGAAGAAGCTGCAGTGACTAGTTACCAGGAATCTATGAGCCACCAAGACCTGCAATGGCTCCTCTCCTCCCCACCTCAAGAATAAAGGCTCAGAACTCACTGCTTTTTTTTTTTTTTTAAAAAAAAAAAAAAAAATCACAAAAACCCCAAAGCCTTGGAAGCCCGAAGCACGTTGCCAGAGGTGTTGCAGGAGAACTACCCCACCACTTGAGCACTTCTTGTGCTACTACAACGAAGCACCCGTTTGAGTCTCTGCAGTGAGTTAGTGCCACCTCCCGGAGCCGTCCCAGGGTTGCTAAGTCTCAAGGTACATTTCGTAAAGCTTCTTAGTTTCGAGTTGGATTTGTGGGTTTGCAAAGCGCTTATCACGGGCTTCTCTGTACAGGTTCTGCAACATCCTTTACTAGTTTTCACCAAAGAAAGGAAATGGAAATATAGTAACTGTTACCAGATGAGGGCTATCACCTCTATTAATTTTCTCCTTGTATAACACCATAGTATAAGAAAGCCTGGAGAAGGGCAAAATTTATTTTAAAAAACACAGATAAGCATCTTCTCTTGTAATAACTTGTCTGAACATTCGAGATTCACACGCAACTTTCTGCAGCCCCTGCGAGCACCAGCTGCCAGCACATGAGCTCAGCAAACAGTCCTCATCTCGCAGAGCTGGCAAGGTGCCCGCCGAGGCCTCCTTGTGCAAAAAAAGTGTGTAAAATCACATTTCACTCGCGCCAGCATGATATGCCGGCGGGGCCCCATCCCCACGACGCAGAGGAACAGCAGCTGAGCAGCACTCGGCACCCACTCACCTCCCAGCCTGGGTCTCAGCATCCCAAACCCAGGTTGTGCTAAGACAACGTGGGGTTTGGGGGTTGGTTTTTTTTTTTTGGAAAACGTTAAACACCTCCCAAATTACAGCCAGGGAAATTATTTTTAAATAACCCAAATGATGGCTTTGCCAGCTTTTATCCACCCTCTCCCTTCCTCTTCAGCTTTACAAGGGGATTTTGCTTGCAGCGCTGGCAAACCCCAGGGGCAAGCTTCAAGGAGTTTGAAGAGCTGCTTTCACCCACTTTGGAGATAGGTAATCAGATGTATGCACAGCCCGAATGACTGTGTTCCTTGAACAGGGCTGCCTTTTTTTTTTTTTTTAAAAAAAAAAGAGGCTCAGCTCTGATGTTTGCGTATTTTTACATTTTAAATTTTAATTTTAAATTGATTTACTCATCCTGAACATTCACACGCAACTCTCACACCCGTACGAAGAAAAGACTGCGCTCCTCAAGCAAATGTGCCCGAGAAGCCACGCCAGTGGGTCCCTCACAGTCTCCAAATTTCTGTGGAATCCCTTGTTTGAGTTTCACACCGCGGCACACCAGCGGACTCAACGTGCAGCACCAGCCACCAGTTCCCCAGCAAGCAGTTCCACCTCTTTACCAGATAATCCAGGCCTGTGTTTTCAGTTTTCCTGCCTTACCAGCCAGGTAAAGCCCACTCAGCACGCTGGGCTGAAGGTAGGAGAGTTGGTCTCTGCGCGATAGACGGGTGCTACAGCGGCTAAGCTGCACAGGTATCCCATGGGAATTTGGGATTGCCTGTCAGGTGACAAAGATTATCCTCCTACTTTGATTAGCTTTGGCTTTAAGCAGCTGACTTGATTTTCATGGCATTTAAGCCTTCGAGACTCTGGGTATGAGATGACAACTAAAATCTAATCAACTCTCTGAAGCAACAGAGCACCAGTCTGCCTTCTCCTGTTCATACGAAGCCACTTCAGTTCAAAAGGATCATCTACTTCTCCCTCCCCATCCTGCAACTTCTATTTTTAAGCGACCTCAGGTTGCCTCAAGTTCCACAAAAACAGAGATTTGCTGAACCACTTGCCCAGTTTGGGCTAAAACAGTTTCGAGCCAGGTCCTTTTTCTTCAGGAAGATTCAACTCGTGTTCAAAAAAATAAAAAAAATAAATAAAAAGGCCAAGTGAATGCACCAGCTGCATCCCCACCCCAAAATTGCCAGAAGAAAGAAAAACGTAACCACAGAGGTTGCTCTGCGTCTTCAGCCTGCTGAGCAAGATTCCTTTTCATGTGTCCAACCTATTTTTCTAAGCGTAGTTCCGCATTCTCAGCTATATTAAGATTTGTTGTTACTTTAAAAAAAAATTTTTCATCTCACCTCCCAAGATTCAACATAAAGACAGCACTTAAAAATAGAGTATTGTCAAGCCCAAGCACTTACAAATATGAGTCAAGCCCTCAAAAATTAGACAGATTTTCTTTAAAACTGAGACTTCTAAAAGGATTAGAAACCTGTTCTCAAGTTATTTCACTTGCTAGACAGTTAAGAGTTTAGTCCACATTTGAATCATATTTCCAAGTTTTTCTCTCCAACCAAAGCCAGGCTTTGTTTTCCTTTTATTTTTTTGTTGATTTTTAAACTATTATTAACGAAAGCTTAGACTTTCATCGAGTTAAATGCTTCCACAGCAGCAAGGTTTAAAGATAAAACACCAAACAGCACGAAACCTGCGAGCTGCTCTGAGCTGGCAACCCCACACACATCTGGCCACCTGCACCCCAACACCCTACAAGCCCTCCTCCACCCCAGCACCAGGTCAGGTTTCCTGCAGCCTTTGTGGCAGATGAGCAGCAGCCACCCACGACAAAAGACCAAAGGCAGGAGGAGTAAAGCTCATCCTCCAGGATCACGTTGGAAGTCAGTGTGGGAAGGAGCCAGACCTCGCGACTCCCCCGTCTGCTTGAAGCACCCGACCACTCATGCCCCTTCTCACCCAGCTTGGGAGAAACACACGGTGCCTACGTTCGAATCTACGAGGAACAATCTCCTATTTTAATAATGCTAAAGAAAAATTTTAAAAAAAAATACGTTAATCCATCAGCTCTGCTGTGTGCCCTCAAGGAAGGGCAGCAGAGACAGCCAAGTTCTTTCCACACAGCACCTTTTTCTAACAAGATCTGCCTTTCAAACAAACCAGGAAAAACAGGCGTAATTAAAGGGCAATCAAAGCGCTGCAGGAACCTCGCTGTCAGCGAGATGAAAGATGCCTTTTTTAAATGAAGGCCTGCATACCCAGATCTCTTCTCCTCAGTTTATCTTGGACGCCGTGATCCTTTGTCACACAAAAAGCACCGGCAATTTGGATTAGTCCAAAGGCTACATATGCAGCAGCTTTGCATGAAATGCCACCTTGTACAGCCTCTCCTGACTCACTGAAAGCGAAGTTGAAAAGGAAGGAGAAGGTACACACCAGCAACATCAGAGGTTGCCATAGGCAGTGGCAAACAACTCGGATGGTTACGAGCACACTGTAAGCTCTGGCCAGCCCCCCGCAAACACAGGCATGGGTACGAGTGTAATGGCCACATAACAGACCCTCCTGTCATGTAAAGTCTTGTACATCTTTCTGGATAAGACTCTACGCAGGTGAACTTCCACTTGGTCGTCTTGCTCCACGTTTCAATAGAACACAGGTAAATTGAATTCACCTCCTCCTATTTATGCTCCATTATATTTTTTTCATACCCAGAGGATGGAGGTGTGACTCGGTAACACAAGTCCATTGGGTATTTCTTTCTCTATTGAGAAATGAGATGAAACTTTAGCTCTTTTCTAGCACAAGTAGGCAAAAGCCTCTCATTTTGAAAGCATATTCAACATGATGTTGTCAGGATGCTTTTGATATGAATGATATTAGGATTCTATCCTGTGATTCTATGATTTTGAATCACCATGTTTGGACAGAATACGGAGTTTGGAACTTACAACATAACCAAGGACAGGTTAAGCTGCAAGGAGCTTCTTTCCATAGAATGGAAGGCTGAATAATCATAGAATCATAGAATGTTGGGGGTTGGAAGGGACCTCTAAAGATCATCTAAATCCAGCCCCCCTGCCAGAGCAGGATCCCCTGGGGCAGCCACACAGGAACACGTCCAGGTGGGTTTTCAAAGTCTCCAGAGAAGGAGACTCCCACAACCTCTCTGGGCAGCCTGTGCCAGTGCTGTCACCCTCACAGTAAAGAATGTTTATGTTCTGCCC